GGGAAGAGCAACAAGCATGTGATGGCAACGTTGATGGCTGTGGTGGAGATGACGATGCTGATGATGGTGCTGATGCGATGGCGAAGAGCGAAGAACGCCAGCTATACGTCTACACCAATCCTGGCCAGGCCCATCCTGGCCCAAAGATCCGTGGATACGCCCTCCCGGCTTCAGCAGGAAGGCGTAGACACCGATCCTGGGTCCTGGCTCGGCCTGTGCAGGACCGGTGCTGGTGCACAACTGGTGCCCTCTGGATTCCTTCGTCGGTGGGTCTGCGGCGAGCTGGGCCCGAGAAGCTGGCAGGCAAACGGCGGGACGCGTCCGTCCCGCATCGAGGCACAGGGGCGCAAGCGGGAGAGGGGCGAGGAGAGAGAAGGCCACGGGACGGCCAGAAAACCCTCCGACCGTGTAGACCTTCGGGATGTGCCGCCTCTGGGGAAGGGGGGGGGGGAACAAAAAACAAAAAACAAAAAACGGAGGAGGGGGGAGCCCGAGGAGCCCTGGGGTGAACCCTCCTCCGAGGCGGGCGTCGGGGCAGGCCCTCCCCCGAGGCAAGACCCTTCCACGAGAAAGCCCCTCGGGGAAGGGCCTGCCTCGGCGCGCGCTGGCGGTGCGGCCGCAGCGGCTGCCGCGTGAACGGGCGCCTGGGCGGCAGGGCGGAAGAGAGAGCCCCCAGCGGCCCCAAGCGGTCCCCTCCAAGATGGTTTGCCCGTGGGTGTCTTTCCTCTGCCAGGGGTCGGCGGAACGGCATGGGCCTCTGGAACGGACGCCTGGGCGGCAGGGCGGAAGAGATCAATAGCCTTGCCTCCGACTCAGGAGCAGCTCTCGCCGCCGCGCCCGCGAGAGGCCAGGCGGCCGCAATCGGAGCGGGGGCACGACACTGGGCGCGGCGAGAGGGGGAGGGGGAGGGGAGGCTGCATGGCTTCTGATTGCTATCAGTGTTACCACCGGCTGTGATCCGGTCTCACTTTTGGCCACGCCGTGCGATTCCCGCGGCTATCAGGAGCCCTCCTCCTCAGGCCCTCTTCCCCCACAGTCCGACGTGCTCAGCGCTAGACGCTGCGGCCAGGCGGCCAGAGCCAGGGCGATGCGAAACCGAGGCTGCGTGGGCGGAGGGGCGACCAGGGAGGGCGCAGGCCCGACAGCCAGGCTCACGGGGCAGAGGCACCGCCAGGCCCCCGGGCGCCTCTCGGCGCCGCCTCGCGGCCCCGGCGGGCGGGGAGCGCGCCAGGCGGGCCCACCGAGGCACGAGCCTGGCCCCGTGCAAGAGGGCGAGGCCAGGAGGGGGAGGAGGACAAAACTCGGCGCGCGCGCCATGTCTGACATCCCAGCCCTCCCGCCCATCCCTTTCCCACTGCACGGATTTCTTCGCCGTATCCGCCGACGCGCGCCATAGCGGACCTGGAATTCAAAAAAAGCAGCATGTCATGCGCAATCGGACAATCGGGGCTGTGTACATTGGAGGAGGAGGAGGAGGAGGAGGAGGAGGAGGAGGAGGAGGAGGAGGAGGAGGAGGAGGAGCAGGTGACGAATGAACAGGCGGACGATCAGGAGGAAAAGGAGGAAGATGAGGAAGGGGGGGACGAGGATGAAAAGCAGCAGCAACAGGGAATTAACTGGAAGGAGCGGAAGGAGCAGTAGGATCAGGGGAAGGTGGACGGAGGAAAAGGAAGGGGGCGACAACGATGAGGAATGACTCCAATCCAGAAAAGTGGCCCGCGCTGGAGGGGAGCGCCTTTCTGAACGAAGGGGGCAAAGCCCGATCTTAAACTGAGGCCCACGCTGCAGCGGGAGCACAATATTGGAAGGGCCGCAAACGTTCGGATTGGAGAAACACGAAAGAAGCAATTCGAACAAATCCTGTATGCAAAAACATTGCGCAGAAGGGGGCACGCCACTCTGAAGACGTCTTAAGGGGGAGAGAGGAGGTGAATACTCACATGGAGTAGTTGTGGACGTAGGAGGTACGGGGGACAGGGTGCGGGGGACGAGAGACGGAGGACAGGATGGCGGACGGGCGGACGGGGAGGGGAAGGAGGAGGAGGAGGAGGAGGACGAGGAGGAGGAAGAGGAGGAGGAGGAGGAGGAAATCCATAGCCATTTTTCCTGCAAGTCCATGATTTTTTTTTTTCCGGTCTAGAACCCGGACCATCACCCCAACGCCCAGGTCCCCACTTGGTGACGGGTGGGGACCCACGCGGGTGCCCCCCAGGAGGAGGAGGAGGAGGAGGAGAGGAGATGAAGAGAGGAGGAGAAGCATGAGGAAGAGGAGGAAGGAGGAGGAGAAGAAGTAAGCAAAGGAGCAGAAGGAAGATAGATAAAAAAAAGGAGGAGGAGGAGGAGGAGGAGGAGGGAGGGGAGGGGAGGGAGGAGGGAGGAGGGGGAGAGGGAGAGGAGGGGAATGGGGAGGACGGAGGGAAGGAAGAGGAGCAGGACGAGGGAGGAGCACTGAGGGGGGAGGACGGAGGCGGGGGAGACTGTCGGCGCCTAGCGCGCAGAGCGAAGAGGGGCCAGCCAGCCCCGTGTTCAGGCGCGCACGCCGGCGCACGCCAGCGCGCGAACGCCGGAAGGAGGGAGACAAGGAGGAGGAGGAGGAGGAGAAGGAGGAGGAGGAGGAGGAGGAGGGGGAGGGGGGGGACGTGTGGGGAGGGGGAAAAGGAGGGGGGGGAGCAGGAAGGGGGGAGGAGGTAGGGGGCTCCTCTCTCCGGAGCCGCTGAGCGCGGTTCCCTCGGGCCGCGCCGCGCCCACGACGCGCGCGCGCGTGCGGGGCCAGGGCGGCCCACCCTGTCCCGAAGGGGGGGGAGGCAGAAGGCGGAAACCACTTGTAACCAGAGGCCGTCGAGAGGAGGGGAGGTTGGCAGTGCGGCGGGGCCACCGAACCGAGGATGATGAATAGACCGACGATGGCGTAGTTTGCGGGTAACGTTGTGCACGGCGCACCTTGTATGTGGCGCTGTAAACGAAGTAGCGTCATAGGCTTTCCGTAACGTTGCACTCGGTACCAGGAATGGCGCACCGACGTATGAGTCTGCGATCAATAGGTATGAGGTGAGGTTATAATCGTCCTCTTCTTGGGTGTTCCCACGCGCTTGCCTCGCGTATCCGTATAGGACCGCATGTAGGCTGCGCTTGTTGTGAGATCCCGTTGGGGAGGGGAGGCTGTTGGTCTTTGTTGGTCTTGTAAGTTTCCTGTGTGATCGGTCTCCCGTGCTGGCCGATCTAGTCTACGAAGTATTAAGTACAGTACCACATGTAATAATATGCTGGTTATGTTGAATTCGTTTGCCAGGTCGCACTCGCTGTGGCTCATACAATAGACTGTTATATGGGTGTAAATGATCTGCGCGGCCGAATCGCAGCGCTGGCCAAATAGCTTCGCAACGATCGCTTTTTGAGCGTGCCGATAGTGGGTACTCCTGTGTCGCTGTCCCCCGTTGCGTCGTCCTCCTCCTTCGGGTCCCACGGCAAATCGTGCTGGAGCCGAACTGCCGTGTCATATGGGCGAGTCTCCACTAGGATGAATTCTTAAGTCGCGTGCCAGTAAACATCTCGCAGGGACTGGTGGGGCTTGTCCGTTATGTGGTCCCTCTGGGCGATCCTCACTTGGGCTTTGTATACGTCAATACACTTGTCGCAGGGGTCCTTGAAGGTGTGAATTTTCCTCTTC